GTCTTCAGCAAAAACTGGTACTGTGGTGGTTGACTTCAGTTTCAGTTCCTAGCACGTGTGCAGTCTGGTCCATGGCTCATCTTATCTGCAGCATCTGTTCCGCCCAAATCTCCTGGTCTGTTTAGCCCATGGTTTTCTTCTCCTTGCTTGATTGGACATAAATTGAGGTGCAGTGTTTTGCCATTTCATCAACTGTTCTAGTTCATGGTTTTGAAACAAAGAGGACTCATGAATGGTACTTTTCAGGCTCACTGTCTTTTTATCCTGGCTGTCTAGCACATTGAGATTTCCTCTAGCCCCAGTAGACTGGCTATAGTATATACCAATAGACTTTGGGGACTATTGGTTACATAAGTCCATCAATTCCATTATTATACCTCCATTAACCCTTTGGGGTATGTGCCTTGTGAACTTTGTCATTAATTTTCATCTACTTTGGTTTTCAGTTCATGATACTATTAGGTGTTCAATTGCCATTACATGATATGACAGTATGTTTGGATGATGTACTGTAGCATGGAATTTCATTACTAGACTGAGCTATAGTATATACCAATAGACTTTGGGGACTATTGGCTACATAAGTCCATCAATTCCATTATTATCCCATTAACCGTTTGGAGTATGTGCCTTGTGAACTTTGTAATTAATTTCCACCTACTTTGGTTTTCAGTTCAAGATACTATTAGGTGTTCAATTGCCATTACATGGTACGACAGTATGTTTGGATGCTGTACTGTAGCATGGAATTTCATTGCTAGACTGGGCACGCTTGCTTTTTGGTTTGTATCTTCACCATTCCAGATGCTCCTTGGTTTCTGCTAGCTACACAAGTATAGTCCTGATCATTTAATATTATTTATTATCATTTATGTATTATTATTTCATCACCAATATAATTTATCATTATTTTGTTATCTTTATATTCTGTTTTATGGCATCATCACATAATTTGTGTTTTTATTATCATTGTACTCAGCCTTGGAGAGCCTTTAATTCATTTGTAAACAACATATTCATGCTTTATACAATAATTTTATAGTCATAAAAAGGTACGGCTTATAAACTAACATTTACACTTTGTATCTACAGTAACACTAGTTTTAAAACAAATGCTGGTCATACTAAAAAAAGATCACTTTGGTTTTGTAAATCTTGTCTATAGATTGCATGTAACTATAATTTATATTTAATTTAGAATAAAAATATATTTATTATATTTAATGTCACCAAAATAAAGCCTCATTTATAATAAAAAAAAATGATACATGTATTTCATTGGTATCCTAGTAATCACAAAGTTTTACCTGAATCAATAGATCAATAGAGGAATTGCAAAAATTGCTCTGGTCCAAAAAGTGTATACAGGTTTGACAGCTGAACTGGTTAAAAAAAGCTATATTAAGTACCATATTTCATGATTTTATCATTTTTGCTTTTTATAGGTTGAAATTAAAGATTTTCTTTTCTATCTTCAAGTCTTATAATATTCTAGAATTTTTATCCTGTTTATTTCAATAACTTACAACTCTAGTTCTCAGTTCTTGCTCTGAAATGGAATTACTTAATATATTTCATTGAATTTGATATTTCAAGGTAATCATTTTAACTTGAAGTAGTAATAAAATGGAACATGAAAGGGCAGATATTGCATATTGCTCTTTCTGGGTGACTGACATAGATTTGATTTATGTTCTATGTTTAATGATAAATACCGAAGATTTTGAATTAAGCCCTATGCATCTACATATTGCAATGGAACATTTCAAAAGCTCCATTATACAATAACGTAATAGCATACAAATGGGTCAAAATACTACTGGTATGTTCTTGATATATACATTTATATTTAAATGAGAAGAAATAGTATTTATTTATTTTTTGTGATTGTGAGTAGCAGATTAAAAATTAGTTATTAGTGTAGCTGTCATGCTTGATGCGAAGAACATAAAATCCCTCAGTGGTTTGCTCAATGGGATTTCTCAGAGTAGGTATTATGGGAACACAGAGATTAGTGAGGAGCTGCTGAAGAGGGAGCTGCACTTGGATTTGCCGCTGGATGAGTTCCAAATGCTGTAAGATAAACGGCAATGATGCCATATTCCTTTGACAAAGTCTACTGATGAAATGCGTCAGAGGGTTACATCACATGCAGGAACCAGAAGCACCCAGGTACCCATTTTGAGTGTTGGATGTCTATATATCTTTTTACATGTAATCATATTGGTGGAGAATAAAGATGTTTTCATGGGATTTTTTTCACTGTGAGCACTTTTTGCTTTCTCCATGTCCTTTAACTACTGATCTATGGGGATGCTGAATACTGAGAAGACTGAGAGAAAGCTTAGATTACCATACTCTGTGCCTCCATTCTGTTATACCGAGAACACCAAGGGATGTTGACCTACCTGGAATGGAATGATGTACATTTTTAATTTGATTATTCGTTAAGAGACTACACAAGTGATGGTTGGAGCAGTTTATCACTAGTGGTGCACTGAAGTTGGTATATTCACATGTGAGCAGGGGAGTAGATAAGGGGGGTTAGGGGGGTCCAACACAGCACAGCAGCTAAGCTAGTGTAGCCTTTCAGCTGCTGGAGCTGCACATCCACACAGCAGCTTGTCTCCTCCACAAGCTGACATGACAGTGTAGAGGGAGAGCATGCTTGCAAGCTGTCCTGCTGTGGCTGCATTCCAACTTGTGTTCTGGGAATCAAGTTGTTAGGGCATCCACAGTGTCTCCTTACTTTGTGTCCAGAAGTGCAGAATCTGCAGCAGGATGCTGGGAAATGGAAAGCTCTCTGCATTCCCACACCCAGCACTGATAGGAACACTATACGGTGAGCAGAGTTAGCTCTGCCCACAGTACAAGCAAAGTCCCAGCCTGGAGGGAGAGAGAGCAGCACAGGAATCTCTGATCTGGTAAGTGATCAACAATTCAGCAGTAGAGGGGGCTTTGATTGAGTGGAATTGAAATTTTACCCCTCATGACCACCAATGCAGGGGTGGTGGTGGATTAACCTTTACTGTATGACCAATGAAGAAGGGGGGATAGGGTGCGTAGCCAGAGTGGAAGCTGAATGGCTACATAACCACACAGCTCTGCTGTACTCACAGTGCCAGCATACAGCAGCGGCGGACCTGACACTCCAAAAGCGACCAGAGGAGAGGCAACAGCCCGGTGACTCTCAGGAAGATGACAAAGAAGAGGAAAGCTGAGAGGAAACTCCTGAAACCAACAGAGTTTCCCCCCTTGGCTGGATCACGGCAATCCCCAACATGGCAGCAGCTCAGTTTCCTCCACCTCTCACTCAGCACACAGGCAAGTCTCTGCAGCTTCTCCTGTGACACCTGTTAAGCAGAAAAACAGCTCTATCTTAATGCAGCCTGTCTCCCCTGTTTTCCCTACTTCCTCTCTTGAGAGCCCAGAAAAATCTAAACCTAGAATGACAGATATTAACCCACAGCATGTTGTAACAGATTCTCACACTAATCCTTCACATTTTGCAAGTAATTTCTCAGATCCAATGGCTAACTTTCCTACTACTAGTCAGCCTATTTCTGATACATTAATGAAGGAAATGCTTCTTTCATTAAGATCATCCATACAGTCAGATATCATTAACTCTATGCAACAAATCAAATCAGAGATTAATGATCTTGGCGACAGAGTTGATCATGTTGAAACAAAAATGGGAGAATGCGCCACTTCCTTTAACACCCTAGTAGATGCCCACAATGAAAGGGATGAAGAAACTGAATGGCTCAAAAATAAAGTCGCAGATCTGGAGGATACATCACAGCGTAACATTAAAATAAGAGGCATTCCAGAATTGATGCAACCTGACCAATTGAGAGCATATACCCAATAGCTCTTTCAGACCCTACCGGATGCTTTCAGATCCTACCGGATGCTACAAACACAGATCTGACCATCGATAGAATACATCACCTTCTGAAACCCTCTTATCTGCCAGATAAAATACCTCGAGATGTCTTGATGAGAATTAATTTTTGTATGTCAAAGAAAAAAAGCATGGAAATTGCGCGCAAACCCCAAAATCTGTCTGCACAATTCTCCTTTTTACAGCTTTTCAGATTTAAGCACACCATGCAACTCAGGAACAATCTCCTCCCAATAACAAAAGCTCTACAAAACCACAAAATTACTTATTGTTGGGGTCACCCCACTAAATTGATCGTCACCAGAAATGTCTCAATCATCACAATTATCACAATTAGAGATGAGCGAATCGAACATGACGAAGTGGAATTCGTTTCGAAGATTAGGAAATATTCGATTCGCGCCGAATCTGAAAATTAGCAAAACTTCGGATGCGCGAATCGAATTTTCCCAAAAATGGCGGCGACATGTGTAGCGACGGAGCGGGGATCTCTGGGAAGGCGCGCAGACAAGGCGCGCTGACCCATAATGCATTCATGACATGTGATCGCATTAGCCAATCAGCAGCCAGCCAGCCAGCACTGTGTAATGGTGGAGCTATAAATCGCGGCAATCTTAGAATTCTCCATTAGCCTCCGGTCATTCAAGAGAGACAGACCTCTGTGTATTAGGGACAGAGTTAGGGCCACAGAGACTTTAGGGCCGAATCGTTACTTAGGGACACAGAATCGTTACTTAGGGACACAGAATCGTTACTCAGGGACACAGAATTGTTACTCAGGGACACAGAATTGTTACTCAGGGACACAGAATCGTTACTCAGGGACAGACACAGAATTGTTACTCAGGGACACAGAATTGTTACTGAGGGACACAGAATCGTTACTCAGGGACACAGAATTGTTACTCAGGGACACAGAATTGTTACTCAGGGACAGACACAGAATTGTTACTCAGGGACACAGAATCGTTACTCAGGGACACAGAATTGTTACTCAGGGACACAGAATTGTTACTCAGGGACAGACACAGAATTGTTACTCAGGGACACAGAATTGTTACTCAGGGACACAGAATTGTTACTGAGGGAAACAGAATCGTTACTCAGGGACACAGAATTGTTACTCAGGGACACAGAATTGTTACTCAGGGACACAGAATTGTTACTGAGGGACACAGAATCGTTACTCAGGGACACAGAATTGTTACTCAGGGACACAGAATCGTTACTCAGGGACACAGAATTGTTACTCAGGGACACAGAATCGTTACTCAGGAACACAGAATTGTTACTCAGGGACACAGAATTGTTACTGAGGGACACAGAATCGTTACTCAGGGACACAGAATCGTTACTCAGGGACACAGAATTGTTACTCAGGGACACAGAATCGTTACTCAGGGACACAGGTTACTCAGGGACACAGAATTGTTACTGAGGGACACAGAATTGTTACTCAGGGACACAGAATCGTTACTCAGGGACACAGAATTGTTACTCAGGGACACATTGTTACTCAGGGACACAGAATCGTTACTCAGGGACACAGAATCGTTACTCAGGGACACAGAATCGTTACTGAGGGACACAGAATCGTTACTGAGGGACACAGAATTGTTACTCAGGGACACAGAATTGTTACTCAGGGACACAGAATTGTTACTCAGGGGACACAGAATTGTTACTCAGGGACACAGAATTGTTACTCAGGGACACAGAATACTGAGGGACACAGAATCGTTACTGAGGGACACAGAATTGTTACTCAGGGACACAGAATTGTTACTGAGGGACACAGAAATCAGGGTTACTCAGGGACACAGAATTGTTACTCAGGGACACAGAATTGTTACTCAGGGTTACAGGGACACAGAATTGTTACTCAGGGACACAGAATTGTTACTCAGGGACACTGAGGGACACAGAATTGTTACTCAGGGACACAGAATTGTTACTCAGGGACACAGAATGTTACTCAGGGACACAGAATCGTTACTCAGGGACACAGAATTGTTACTCAGGGACACAGAATTGTTACTCAGGGACACAGAATTGTTACTCAGGGACACAGAATTGTTACTCAGGGACACAGAACACAGAATTGTTACTGAGGGACACAGAATTGTTACTCAGGGACACAGAATCGTTACTGAGGGACACAGAATCGTTACTCAGGGACACAGAATTGTTACTCAGGGACACACAGAATTGTTACTCAGGGACACAGAATCGTTACTCAGGGACACAGAATTGTTACTCAGGGACACAGAATTGTTACTCAGGGACACAGAATCGTTACTCAGGGACACAGAATCGTTACTCAGGGACACAGAATTGTTACTCAGGGACACAGAATCGTTACTCAGGGACACAGAATCGTTACGTTACAGGGACACAGAATTGTTACTCAGGGACACAGAATCGTTACTGAGGGACACAGAATTGTTACTCAGGGACACAGAATTGTTACTCAGGGACACAGAATTGTTACTCAGGGGGACTCAGGGACACAGAATTGTTACTCAGGGACACAGAATTGTTACTCAGGGACACAGAATTGTTACTCAGGGACACAGAATCGTTACTGAGGGACACAGAATCGTTTACTCAGGGACACAGAATTGTTACTCAGGGACACAGAATCGTTACTCAGGGACACAGAATTGTTACTCAGGGACACAGAATCGTTACTCAGGGACACAGAATTGTTACTCAGGGACAGAATGTTATCAGGGACACAGAATTGTTACTGAGGGACACAGAATCGTTTACTGAGGGACACAGAATCGTTACTCAGGGACACAGAATTGTTACTCAGGGACACAGAATCGTTACTCAGGGACACAGAATGTTACTCAGGGACACAGAATTGTTACTCAGGGGGACACAGAATCGTTACTCAGGGACACAGAATCCTTGAATTAAAGAGTATGTCAGACAACACGCAGAGGAGTGGCAGAGGAGGCAATGTTTCAGGAGCGAGCAGACGTGGCAGCAGAGGAAGGGGTCAAGGCAGCACTAGTCGCAGCCAGAGGCCAGTGCTCCCGGTGTCATCCAGCGGTCGTGTCTCCACCGACAACCCTGCCGTCATCGATTGGTTGGCTCGGTCGTCTTCCTCTTCCCAGGTCACCTCTGACACCTACAGCCAACGGTCGGTGGGTACGTCAGACACAACCGTTAGTTGGCATGGCCCGGGAGCAAGCCCACTGAAATCACGTGTCCTCTACCTGCCCCTGTCCTTTGGTGTTCCCTCACCAAGCGAAGTTATCGCATGCTGTGGGCTCAGCCCCACTGTACAGTGAGGAAGAGCTAACAGAGGGCGGTCAGGAACGGGGGGAGACATCCGCCTCTTCAGCAGCCAGGCGAAGAAGTACTGGCGAGGAGAGTGGCTCGGTAGCCGGTCTAGAGACAGGTCTGTCTCCTGACCCACACGCAGCCGAGGGGGCTAGTAGTGAGGCGGAGACCCTAATTGATGATGATGAGGCTGATCGCACTTGGCAGCCTCGTCGTCATCAGGCTATTGCTTCCGCATCATCAGGAGAAGAGGGTGCCAGCTTGGCAGCGAGCAAAACAGTCGGTGGGTTGCCCAGGAGGCAGCAGGGTCGCAGCAGTGTCAGTGGAGGCAAACGGCCACGGAGTAGAGCACCAGCTCCACTGCAGCCTACCACCACGGCCAGTAGTGGTGCCGGTGTGCACGGAGGAAGTAGCAGTCAGCCAGTGAGGAGTAGCGGGGGCAAAGTTTCCTACTCGGCGGTGTGGCAATTTTTCGTCAAGCCGCCCGAGGAAGTAAACGTAGCCGTATGTCGACTATGTGGCCAGAAAGTCAAGTGTGGCCAGGGGGCCCATGTTGGGACTACAGCGTTGCGTCAGCATATGCAGCGTCGCCATTCGGTGGCCTGGGAAAACCGTGATAAAGATACGGCGGTTCTGCCTGCCCCAGCCCCCGCTCCATCACCCGCTCCGTTACTTGCTCCGTCACCCGACGTCAATCGCCCTCTATCAGCCAGTCAAGGCTCCAACACCTCTGCTGAGGGGAGTTGTCGCTCGTTGGCATCTTCCGCTCGTTCAGATGCTCCTTCTCCTGCTACTCCTCTTCACGGATTCCGTCAGCAGTCTTTCTTGGAATCCGTTTCCAAGAGACAACAGTTTGCGAGCACGCACCCGACGGTGCAGAAGCTGAACGTCCTCCTGTCCAAGTTGCTGGTGCTGCAGTCCCTCCCTTTCCAAGTGGTGGACTCAGCACCTTTCCGAGAAATGATGGCTTGTGCCGAGCCGCGGTGGAGAGTGCCAAGCCGGCATTTCTTCGCCAAAAAGGCAGTGCCAGCCCTGCATTCACATGTAGAAGAGATGGTGGGCCAGTCTTTGAGCATGTCGGTCTCTGCCAAAGTGCACGGCAGCGCCGACGTGTGGAGCTGTAACTACGGTCAGGGACAGTACATGTCATTTACGGCCCACTGGGTGAACGTGGTGCCGGCACAGCCGCACCAGCAACTTGGACAGGTCACGCCGCTTTTGCCTCCACGTTTGCACGTCCTTGGTCCAGCAAAGATGTCCGCCTCTACCACCTCTTCTTCCGCCGTGTCCTCAGCCGCCACCCCCGTGCCAAGTCCCATTACCCGACGGCATATCACATGTGCAGGGCGCAACGGTGTCACGCTGTGCTGCACCTGGTATGCCTTGGCGAACGTAGTCACACAGGGGAGGAACTTCTGAGTGTAATGAACAGAGAAATCGACAGATGGCTGTCTCCGCGCAAACTGAAAATCGGAACCATGTTGACCGACAACGGAAAGAACATGGTGTCTGCTCTGCGTCAAGGAAGGTTGTGCCATGCGCCATGCATGGCTCACGTGTTCAATCTGGTTGTCAAGCGGTTCCTAAAATCCACCATCCCACTGCAAGACATCCTTAAAATGTCACGTAAACTTTGCATGCATTTCAGCCATTCCTACACCGCAAAGCACACACCCTCCTTGAGCTGCAGCGGCAGAACGGAATTCCACAGCATCGCCTGATCTGCGACGTTGCAACAAGGTGGAATTCAACCCTACATATATGTTAGACCGCCTTTACGAACAGCGAAAGGCCATCACCGATTTCCTGATGTTACAAGCGGATAAAGGTACTCCCCTGTGTAACTTAGATGTCAGCCATTGGCAGCTCATGCGTGACACCTGCCGCTTGCTCAGGCCTTTGAGGAGGCCACGCTATTCGTGAGTCGGCAGGACTATGGGATGAACGACGTCATTCCTCTGTTGCACGTCCTGGAACAAATGCTGTTAACAATGGCTGGTCAGGGTGCGGTAGACGTGGCGCACAGATCTCAACGCCACATGACCCCTGTGGGGGCAGGACAGGAAGAAGAGGAGGAGGTAGAGGAGGACATTGGTGCTCAGGAATTATTGAGTGAAATGGGTGGTTTTTCCACTCAGCGGACAGGAGTGGAGGAGCAGGAGCATCTGGTAGAGGAGGAGGAGGAGACAGAGGACCCAGACGCACCAGACGCAGTGCAGTATGTGGAGATGGAGGCAGGGAGTCCCTCGCATTCCTTGGCACAAATGGCCCATAGCATGCTCGGTTGCTTGCGTAGCGACAGCCGAATAATAACCATCAGACAGAGGGATGACTTTTGGCTGTCCACCTTGTTGGACCCTCGCTACCGTTCAAAAATGGTGGCCTTTTTCACACCTGCTGAGAGGGAGGCCAAAATAACGTACTATAAAAACCACCTATGTAGTCAGTTGGTCTCTGCCTTTCTGCGCCAACGTCCATCCTCAGACACTGTGGGCCCTGTGCGCTCGCGTTCCGCTGCCATGGCAGCAGGGGGGGGGTGGGGTGGTAGGAGCAGTGGCAGCTCCACCAGCAGCGGCTGCCTCAGTCTGCAGTCGATGATGAGTAGCTTTTTCTTCACCAGCGCAGTGAGGAAAACTACTAACCAGCCAGCAGCAGCAGCAGCATCAGGTGGACCTGGAGCAGGACCTCAAACAACAGGCTTGGGCCTACTTGGACAGCACCCTGCCAACCGAGGTAGACAATCCCCTTGACTACTGGGCAACGAAACTTGACCTTTGGCCCCAACTAGCTGAATTTGCCCTTGAAAGGCTGTCATGCCGGCCAGTAGCGTGGCATCGGAGCGCGTGTTTAGTGCGGCAGGAGGTATTGTAACTCCTCCGCGGAGGACACGACTGTCCACCCAAAGTGTGGAGAGACTCACGTTTGTGAAAATGAATCAGGCGTGGATTAGTCTGGATTTCAAACCACCAGTTCCTCCTGACACAACTGACTAAATCCGCCATGAATCATGCCCCAAACATGTTATTATTTTTTAACATAGGCCTCTGTATGGCCTTCAATTTAAGCTGCTTACGCTTCGCCACTCTGCCATGGGCCCCTGTACCGCCTCCTCTTGCTGCTGCCAGGTCCAGAGTGTGTCATGGGTCCCTGTACGGCCTCCCATTGCTGCTGTCTCCATCGCCACACTCTGCCATGTGCCACTTTCAGGTCTCCTCACACTGCTGGTGGGTTCCATTTTGTCATAGGGTGCTGGCAGATTACGGGCCTCCCATTGCTGCTGCCAGGCCCGTAATCTGCCATGGGCCCCCGTACCGACTCCTCATGCTGCTGCCAGGCCCGTAATCTGTCATGGGCCCCTGTACCGCCTCCTCATGCTGCTGCCAGGTCCAGAGTGTGTCATGGGTCCCTGTACGGCCTCCCATTGCTGCTGTCTCCATCGCCACACTCTGCCATGTGCCACTTTCAGGTCTCCTCACTGCTGCTGGTGGGTTCCATTTTGTCATAGGGTGCTGGCAGATTACGGGCCTCCCATTGCTGCTGCCAGGCCCGTAATCTGCCATGGGCCCCCGTACCGACTCCTCATGCTGCTGCCAGGCCCGTAATCTGTCATGGGCCCCTGTACCGCCTCCTCATGCTGCTGCCAGGTCCAGAGTGTGTCATGGGTCCCTGTACGGCCTCCCATTGCTGCTGTCTCCATCGCCACACTTTGCCATGTGCCACTTTCAGGTCTCCTCACACTGCTGGTGGGTTCCATTTTGTCATAGGGTGCTGTATGGCCTCCCATTGCTGCTGCCAGGCCCGTAATCTGCCATGGGCCCCCGTACCGACTCCTCATGCTGCTGCCAGGCCCGTAATCTGTCATGGGCCCCTGTACCGCCTCCTCATGCTGCTGCCAGGTCCAGAGTGTGTCATGGGTCCCTGTACGGCCTCCCATTGCTGCTGTCTCCATCGCCACACTCTGCCATGTGCCACTTTCAGGTCTCCTCACACTGCTGGTGGGTTCCATTTTATGATAGGGTGCTGGCAGATTACGGGCCTCCCATTGCTGCTGCCAGGCCCGTAATCTGCCATGGGCCCCCGTACCGACTCCTCATGCTGCTGCCAGGCCCGTAATCTGTCATGGGCCCCTGTACCGCCTCCTCATGCTGCTGCCAGGTCCAGAGTGTGTCATGGGTCCCTGTACGGCCTCCCATTGCTGCTGTCTCCATCGCCACACTCTGCCATGTGCCACTTTCAGGTCTCCTCACACTGCTGGTGGGTTCCATTTTGTCATAGGGTGCTGTATGGCCTCCCATTGCTGCTGCCAGGCCCGTAATCTGCCATGGGCCCCCGTACCGACTCCTCATGCTGCTGCCAGGCCCGTAATCTGTCATGGGCCCCTGTACCGCCTCCTCATGCTGCTGCCAGGTCCAGAGTGTGTCATGGGTCCCTGTACGGCCTCCCATTGCTGCTGTCTCCATCGCCCACACTCTGCCATGTGCCACTTTCAGGTCTCCTCACACTGCTGGTGGGTTCCATTTTGTCATAGGGTGCTGGCAGATTACGGGCCTCCCATTGCTGCTGCCAGGCCCGTAATCTGCCATGGGCCCCCGTACCGACTCCTCATGCTGCTGCCAGGTCCGTAATCTGTCATGGGCCCCTGTACCGCCTCCTCATGCTGCTGCCAGGTCCAGAGTGTGTCATGGGTCCCTGTACGGCCTCCCATTTCTGCTGTCTCCATCGCCACACTCTGCCATGTGCCACTTTCAGGTCTCCTCACACTGCTGGTGGGTTCCATTTTGTCATAGGGTGCTGTATGGCCTCCCATTGCTGCTGCCAGGCCCGTAATCTGCCATGGGCCCCCGTACCGACTCCTCATGCTGCTGCCAGGCCCGTAATCTGTCATGGGCCCCTGTACCGCCTCCCTCCTCATGCTGCTGCCAGGTCCAGAGTGTGTCATGGGTCCCTGTACGGCCTCCCATTGCTGCTGTCTCCATCGCCACACACTGCCATGTGCCACTTTCAGGTCTCCTCACACTGCTGGTGGGTTCCATTTTTTCATAGGGTGCTGTATGGCCTCCCATTGCTGCTGCCTCCACCGCCACACTGTGGCTCCACACTCTGGTTTTGGCCCCGTGACTGCCCAAATGAGTGAAGTGTGCGGTGATTCTAAGATCGACGGCACTCATCTGCATGTCATACTGACTGACAGTATTATTTCTCTTCCCCAGCAGACTCCAAGGGCATTTAAATTAAAGGTACAGTGTTCTGCACTAATATAAAGGCTCTCTGAAGCCTAGAAACACCCTTTTTATAAGTTAAATTCACAGCGAATATATTCGACTCAAATCAAATTTATTCCGCGAATTCGCCCAATCAGCCGGATCGAATTTTTGAATAATTCGCTCATCTCTAATCACAATCAACAGCCTAGCGGAAGGTCTACAATGTCTTAGAGAGTGGGACATTCTCCCAGAAAGCAACCCACAATATTCTACTGCCACCAGAGCATCTCCAGAGTGGAACCTGGTCACTCACAAATGCCAAACTAAACATTGACCATATACTTGTCTCAATCTTCTCTCATGGTCCCTGTTTAGATGTAATTTCACATGTTTTAGCAAGGCACTGAGGGTACTACCCTTACCGAACACACTACCTGTAAGTATGCCTCCCAATGGCAAGGTCACTTGTTTTGTTTTTGCCCTATAAGTACTACACAAGTTTTATTGCATTCGGATCTTGGCTAAGATCCTATTTTTTACTGATTTGTTATCTGTTATCTGTATTTGTTTATTTTTTTCCTTTTTGTTTCTACTATCGTGTAATTCCTGATAGTCTAAATGGTTTAACTGACATGTACATAAAAATGTATTACCGTTTTAGGGGCCCCTTGGTTAAGCCCCGATTAATATCGGTAAATATATCTATTCAATGGGTATACAAATTATCTCTATTAATGTCAATGGCTTGAATCATCCGGCCAAACTTACAAACATGTGGAAACAGGCATTTAAAGATAAATGTGATATACTCTGTGTTCAAGAGACTCATTTCATAGATTCGGCCCCTCCTAAATGCTCACACAAAAAGTTTCCACATGTATATACTGCCAATGCCTCTGAAAAAAAGAGGAGTACTCACTGCTATTAGAGATACACTAAACTTTGTTCTTCATTAAAATATCTCAGACCCCGAAGGCCGGTACCTGATTCTTATATGTACTATAGATAATACAGATTACACTACTGTAAATTCATATGCACCTAACGCTCATCAAAAAAGATACTTTACCAAGCTCTTCAAACTAATCTCCAAAAATCATTCTGGTTCCCTTATACTATGCAGTGACTTCAACCTCATAGTTGACAGAAACCGAGACTCAACAAAATCTAAAAAAAAAAAAAGAAAAAAGGCTACCCCAACCTTATACCCCTTTCTAACAAAGATGTCTATGACATTTGGAGGTGTCAACATGCAGGTGAAAGAGATTACACCTTTTTTTTGGCTAGACACCAATCTTATTCAAGAATTGACCTTATATTGGTAGACAAATGGTTACTGCAAAATGTTACCACATCCACCATAGGCAATATAACGTGGTCAGACCATGCACCGGTTTCAATTACTATTTCGGATAACTGCTTATTGAAACCACACAACCTCTGGGGTAGCAAATTCGTCCATTATAAAAATCCCCAACAATAACTTGATACTCGAAAAAACATTTTCCTGTTCTTCCATATAAATTCGCAATCTGTATCAAACTCTGCCACCCTTTGGTGCGCTCACAAATCATATATACGTGGTATAATTTTACAAATGTGCGCTACAGCTAAAAAGCAAAGAAATAAACAGCTTATTGACTTACTACAGGATATTCGCAAACTAGAAACGCAAAATAAAGCTCAAGTCGATCACACCACCTCGAATACACTCTCCAGACTAAGGAACAAATTACGCTCCTTACTATTATACCAATTTGATAGAAGTATACAAAGATTAAAACTCAACTACTACTTTAATGGAAACAAAGCAGGGAAAAATCTAGCGAATACAATTAAATCACTGCATACTAGAACTAAGATACTGTATCTTATCAACCCAAAGGATAAAACTAAAATCACTAATCCTCAAGAAATAGCAAATTAATTTGCAAGTTACTATAATTCGCTTTATAACCTAAATCAAGACAAATCCACTCTCCAACCTTCTATAGAAAACATACAAGCATTTTTATCACACATTCACTTACCCACTCTTTTGAAATCACAATTAAGTATCTTAAACTCCCCTATCACAATAAACAGAACAATGGAAAAACCAATGGCAAAAGTCCAGGACGAGATTGATTTTCCAGTGAATGCTACAACATTTTCAAAAATACCCTGAGTCCGCATCTAAACCAACTATATACTGACACGTTTTCTTCCACCTCATTGCCTTCCGAAATGCTACAAGTGTTAATCGTAACAATCCCCAAATCAGGTAAAGATCCAGATAACCCACAAAATTTCAAGCATATTTCTTTACTAAATACTGATATTAAGATTTACTCTAAAATTATAGCATACAGACTGGCCAATATACTCCCAGATTTGATCAAGCCTGATCAGTTAGGCTTTACTAAAGGTAGACAAACATCTGATGCAACCCGGAGACTAATCAACATAGTTCATTAAGCAGACTCACAAAAAATTCCCTCATTACTTGCTCTGGACGCTGAAAAGGCTTTTGATATGATACACTTGGCATACATATTCCAAGTACTGCATAAATTTGGAGCTTCAGGAACAATTATTAATGCTATTTCATCACTTTACTCAAATCCTTCCGCCCAAGTCGATATATCTAACAGGCTATCCAAACCATTCTTAATTATGAATGGTACCAGAAAAGGATGCCCATTGTCGCCACTAATGTTTAACCTATCAATTGAACCTCTTGCTGAAACCATAAGAAACAATCCAGATGGCATACGCACAATACAGGATATTTGTGTTAAAAACAACATACAAAATGCTAAATTCCTTATGAAAGAATTTAACCTCCTCCCTTCTGAAAAATCAACCTATACATGCATCAGTCCAGTAAAAACAATATTTATATACCTAAAGTATTTTTACAGTTCTATAGCTCCGTTACTCCTAAATCAGGTGGTATAACCCTATTTTATCGCCTTCTACAATGTAAAGCAGAATTTAACAAGACTACTCCCTTAATCAAGTGGGAAAAAGACTAAGGCTGGCCATACATTATACAATTTTCTTTGGAAAATTGCTTTAGACTTACCAAAAACCATATAATATGAGGTCAAACCTGAACAACACTTTCAATTGTATCCAATTAGGCAGGCCCTTGTACTACATAGTTTAAGATAAATCTAAAGGAAATTGGGCAGAAATTGGACAGAAAATTGTATAGTTTATGTTCAGTCTTAGAGAAAATAACTGAAATCTTCACAGTTCAGGAATGTGTTTTCAGCTACTAGATGTGTTAACCTTTGGGAGCTAATGCACAAAATTTCCACAAGATGGTATCTAACTCCTTACCAAATGGCCAAATTCTCAGAACAACATTGTCCTCAATGCTGGAGAAACTGCGGCCAGATTGGTACTCTATTACATATATTATGGACATGTAAAAACATAAGAAGCTATTGGTATAAAGTTTTTCACATGATATTACTGGGATACTGGGATATTACTGATATATTTCACATGAATTACTGGGATATTAACCATTTCAAGTCCGGACACTTTTACCCCCTTCCTGTCCAGGCCAATTTTCAGCTTTCAGTGCTATCACACTTTGAATGACAATTGCGTGGTCATGCAACACTGTACCCATATGAATTTTTTAGCATTTTTTTGAGACACATAAAACTTTATTTTGGTGGTATTTATTCACCACATGTTTATTTTTTTTGCTTTATAAATGAAAAAGTCCAAACATTTTAAAAAAAAGCGTTTTTCTTATAAAATTTTGTAAATAAATCTTTCTTCATAAATCTTGGTCAACATTTATTCAGTTATCTTTTTAGTAAAAAAATATAATAAAAAAAAATTACATTTTTATTTTAATTTTTTATATTATTATTTATTTTTTATTTTTTTTTAACATACTGTCACCTTAGCAGTACAGTGTCACCATAGTGTCACTTTACTACTTGTGGGGGGTGATGAAGATTTTTTTTTCTTTTTTTACACTGATTGCTTTTACACCCATAAAGGCTGTAAAACCAAGCAATGATGTCAGAAAGTGACATCTTGTTCACTACTATTCATGTGATTACCAATTGGCCAATCAGTGATCACACGATCCTGTCCTCACACAGAAGCCCGTACAGCGATCGGTGCTCCGCTGTGGCCGCAAGCACAGGATGTAAATGCGGGCTCCGTTTATGAACGGCATCCCACTCCTGCACTGCTCCCGTCCAGCCGTTTATGTACATGGACCAGACAGGAAGGGGTTAAAGCAACCTGATCCTACCCTAGTCATTCTAAATATAAATATAGACACATATCCAATCCAGCATCAAGGCTTACCATTACTAGACACTGGAAAAACGACTTAGCCCCTTCTCTAAAAGAAGACCCACTTCATCTATGAGAAATCTTTAGCGTACCTAATTACCGAAATTTGACAAAGATTGGAAACCCTGGTCCGACTGGTTCAGAACTGCAAA